AACTTATTTAATCTTTCAAAATCATTGATTTGAGTTGATTTATTGAATTTTATCTACTAGTGGCATCATCGATGGGCGCAGACATAAAAAATTCAGAGTAATTTACGAATGTAACAATAATGCTAAAAATTATATTGACAGGAACAAATGAAACAAACGAATTTTTTGAACAGGAAAGAACCAGTGCACCTGGAAAACTGACTATAATATTCGAATATAATCTAGAAGAAGATCATCGCTTTTTGGAGATAAAATCTCACTATTGTAGGCAAAATCACCGAAAGGAATCAGGCGCCGGCCCATTTCGCCATCATTCACTATGCCGGTACCGTTCGATACAACGCCGATATGTGGCTGGATAAGAATAAGGTAGCCATTTTTTTTACATTTCAATTTTTACGTTGTATGACTCGACGCTAGCGCAGTGATAGAAGCGCTGGTTCCGCTCGCATGGTTTAAAGGCAGGAATCAGGATTAAATTGATGGGGTGTGATTCCACTCAATTGAGAAAGCAGGGTGGGAGGTGGCCGCCAGCCTAGAAAAAAAAAGGAAGAAAATCCTGAAATACACAGGAAATACGAGCATTTTGCTCCATGCTGTGGAGAAGTTCAAAAGACAGGCAGGGAGATGAGAGATAATGTGAGCGCGGAGAGTGGTAGAGAAGTCCGAGAAGAGAGAGCATAGCACATCAACGTGGCGACGCAGACAAGATATCGAACGGTGGGCGGACCATGTTAAGTTTGGTGGAGTCTGTTAGAAGTCCATGGCGCCTAGGGTCCTAGTGGACGCGGGTAATAACTTCTGGGTTTAGGTGGGCTACGCCCGAAGGGTGTCCCAACAAGGCCCTTCGTGCGGCGAGGAGGAAAAGACGCAAAACGCGGCAAAGCGACGAGTTGCTTGCGCAGGACTGTAAACAAAAACAAGAAACAAGGAACCGGTTAGGCTTAGGTTAGAGTGTGTAACCATACTGCGTCTCATATCGGACAGCGCGCGCTGCGACTCGTCCTGCCGCGTTTGAGTCTCTTTCTTCGCCGCGCTGGGCCTCTTGGGGGACACCCGAGCCCGAACTTTGCCTTTAAGGGATAGAATTCTGCTGGAGTCAGTAGAATCATAGGTGCCAGTCGTGTGTTTATGTCGGGAGCGCACCGACCGCACAATGGCGAAAAGTACCAGTTTTTGTATCTGTGTTAAGGTCAGAATGGGCCTCAAGTCTGATAGGGGGTGCACATTCACAACAGGGGCCGATGGGGTAAAATGACATAAGGGCGAAGCCAGCTTTATAAGAGCGAAAGAAACGCTAAGGGAAAACACAAATAGCTTAACGCTCCATCCTCAACTTCGAGAGGATGCAAAATGTGTGGCCCATCCTTATGTCGATGATCAATGAAGAGATATTTCCCGGTCGAATCCCATTTAGAACAGCTAAAATCTAACTCCCAATGCTGACTTACTATGTAGTAGTCTGAATGTGGGTTCATCTTCTCAGGACCCACTGAACGACTCAGCAGTAGCTGTGCTGAAGACGTGTGACAAGAACAGTCTAATCCACCAAATCTGGGAGGACTACGTTACCGACGTGGACAGAGAAGAGTCCGCTGCAAGAGGTTGGCAACGTTCCAAATGCTAATTTATTTCAACAAATTCTCAATTAAATGTGGAAGTTTTAAGGCAAGACACAAGATCGCAAAAAAGGCAAATCGGCTTCTTTTCTTACTGTATCGACTATGTACAGGGAGTCACTTGCCAGCCTCATGTCTATGCTTCACACTACTCATCCACATTTTATCAGGTTATTCAAATTGTCAAGTGCTCACCCGTGATCGGCCCTTATTGGGATGCGCCACGTAGTCGGCTTCCATTAATTGTCGTGGAATTGTAGTAATCGTGTTGCGCATCAGACCCATTCAATGGCTCCTAGGGACGTCCATTGCCGCAAGTTAAGGAAAACAAGACGCTTCTGGTCCCATTAATCCCACAGATAAGCGAGGGTATGATTGACATAGGTGAATCTCGAGGTGAACCTAAGTACCATGCGTGCGCCATATGCAACTTTCTCAGCTTCGCATATACCAAAGCACCCTCAAAAGCCTCACCACATTTTCAAATGTTCTTAGTAAAATAGTTTTGAAAGAAGAAAAAGGACGAATCCTCTTTTTTCCGTGTTCAGATTATGTTTCCTTGTTTAGATTATTTCATCCAGATTTATTCATTCCCACCCCTCCGAGGTTGGTTAATTGGTTTTAGGTCGTCCGGGCAGAATAAATAAATTCTGAGTCATGCACCAGTCAAGTGATTGTGTGCCTAATAAGTACGAGCCGGGGCAGAATAAAAAATTCTGAGTCTAATTGCACCAGTCAAAGTGATGGTGATGCCTAATAAGCACTGAGAGATGTCTAGCCATCGGTTGAAAATCTTTGGGTCGCCGAATCGCGTGGCCACTCCAAAAAAGGATTGCGCTAAGTTTCTATGATTTTTGGCGCTCGGAGTCGGTAACTCTTATCTCAATCTCGAATTTATTGTTACTCGAAATCAAGGTGTATCATGCCGAGAGACGAAAAAGAAAATCCAGTGCGACTCATCGACGCACCACTACGTCCTCAAATCAGGTGAATAAGGGAGTGAAGTTCTAATCTGTTATTGTTAAGGTTGCTTAGGTCTGTGATGAGGTATAAGTCATTATGCGGAATAATTTCAAACACATTGTGATGTATTCCGCTGACCTGTAACGGTGTTCTGGAAGGCATTCGTATCTGTCGCAAAGGCTTTCCCAATCGAATGACGTTTGGCGATTTCCGCTTCCGATATGCTATTCTGGCTGCTGACGAGGCTGCTGGGAATGACATGGCAGAGGTGAAGATGCATGTCAATAGATGAATACCACCAAATAGTAAGAAAGAAGAAATTAAATGTCTTACATTTAGTCGTTATAAGAGATAGCCACTTTCACTTCAGCCTGAAAAGGGACGTAATCGCGTTCAAGTGACAGGAATATGTGACATTCTAATAAAACAGATGCCTACTTTGCCGAGCTTTTTATTTATTTAACATTACTATAAGCTTAATAGAAAACTTCTTCATGCGGTAAAAATGGCAGTATATGCACAAACAATTAAAACATGTCAAGTAACAAAAGCCAGGGTGGGTCAGGACATCGGGATTACCGGCTGGCGCGGTGATAGCGGCGTCGAAATTTCATAAAGGGAGCTACATTTTGAGATAATTGACCAAAAATTGTCGCACGCGGTCAACTCGATTATCGGCGGCGCCGAACTCCTAATGTTTCGAACAGATTATACCATCTCTGATTATGGCCTCAAAAATCTTCTCAGTTGGGGAGGTTGTTTTGATTGTGATTGGAGGGATTATGAATAAAAAAGCTGGGTGGAGCGATTACACCGAGAAAGGGAGCAGATTGGATTGTCAGGGTCGGAAGGGATGCTGCGAGAAGATCGTCAGGAGAATTAAAAATCATAATGAGGACAATGTCATAAGTTGGCACGAGCAAGGTGAGCATTTCCAATATAACCCAAAGCAGTTCAGTCTAGCTCTTCTGCTGAATCCAACTGACATAATGGGAAGCAGCACCATATCCGCACATGTGATCCAGGGACCAAAATAATGGATCAGGTCGCGATCTAGTTCGCAATTCCCCAATTTCTCTGAGAATCGTGCCGCTGATTTAGATCCAGAATCGTTTTGGGAAGATAGGACCGCTGATCTGTTGTGGCTAGTGTACATATACGTCTGAAAACGCCTTCAAATGTCAGCATGATTGCGGCAAACGAGTGGACATCAGTATAATGTATGAGGATTGAAGGGCAGAGAATCGGGGATTCAAGATTGATGGTAGGACTCCACTTCAAATGTGGGGGGAAAAAAAATTAGGCTCGAGGTGGAACCACTGGAGAAAAAAGGAAAGAAAATCTTGAAATACACAGGAAATACGAGCGTTTTGCTCTATGCTGTGGAAGAAATTCAAAAGACAGGCAGGGAGATGAGAGATAATGTGAGCGCGGAGAGCGGTAGAGAAGTCCGAGAAGAGAGAGCATAGCAGATCAACGTGGCGACGCAGACAAGATATCGAACGGTGGGCGGACCATGTTAAGTTTGGTGGAGTCTGTTAGAAGTCCATGGCGCCTAGGGTCCTAGTGACGCGTTTCGATGTAGAGAAGGTGGCGCTACCTTTGCACTTGTTCGTACATAGCACTTCTAGCTATGGTAAGGGCTTCTTAGGTGGGTCTGAGCCTGAACCTTGCCTTTAATAAGAATGGAACGCTTCACCCCTTTATTCCTTTTCTAATTTTGCCGGGTATGAATACGACCCGAAGAAAACCTATAGTGCGACCACCTTTTCCTACAGCTTGCCGATCCAATGTACGCGATACTAATGTATGAAGAGGAACAGCAACCATGATAGTGAACTCAGATAGCGAACTGTTCTCTCTGAACTATTGAGAAGTGGTTTTTGAAAAAACACAAACTGGGTATTAATCACCAGCGTTTGATCTCATCGGTCTGCTGAAATGGGCGAACCGGAATGCTAGTGTCGGTCAGGAGGTCTATCGCAAGGAGAGAACACAGAGGCGCAAGAGCACTTTGGGGTACTTGGTTCGGCTTACTGTAACCCTTCGGCGTCACACTATCGGCTGATACGTTTTAAGTATCTGCCTTCACTCTTACGCGCGTTGAAAACAGCAAGTAAAACGTGACAACATTAAGTTCGAGAAAACGAGCTTTTTTAATAGAGGTGAGTTTTGTTTCGTGGTTTAGAACTGGTCTCTTGGCTGCATTAGCAGGACTATGACTTTCATAGCTGAAAAATGTGACAAGAAGTGGAATTATCGTAGCTTCTTAAATGAGGCGAATCCTTATTACAATTCTCATAATAGACGTAAGGCATGACAAGTTGGTGTTGGTTACTTCTACAGACAGGGTCAACCCTGCGTTGCGCAAAGAACAACGAGGGGGTCGTATTCAGCCGACCGAAAAGGGAGGGGGTCGTATCCACAAACGGGCTGCAAGACGGCTTGAAAAGTGCAGTGTCCGGGAGTGCACTTTCAGCCTCTAATGTTCTCCAGGAGCTCTGCACGCTGTCGGAGAGTCACACAGACATGAGCTCCATGGGAGCATTAAAGCATGCAGAGCACTATAAGTCTCACCATCAGCTTATTATCCTTAATCGACGCTATCCGGACGGCGCTTTTGCTCCGCGGCATAGATCAAGAGTACAATAGACAATAGCCAAAAACTTTGTTACAGTGTAGTGCAAAAACATGGTTACAGTGTATGTTATACGAAGTTGTCTTCGATGATGAAACATTCCTGAAATCCCGAGGAGAACAAAGTGTAGAGCAGTTCATGGGAAAGTGAAACAAGAGTGCCATATAACAGCACAATACAACTCAATCAGGATACTAACACCTTCTTCAGGAAAACAGAAGACTTTCAAATGCGAGTGCGAATTCTGCCCACAGATAGGTGCACGGCGTATACCCGAGCAGGCGTTTTCCATAAAACGCCTCCTCTGTCAGCGGCCGTAAGCAGACAAACTTTCTGAAGAGAGTTTTGATGCTTTCAAATAAAATCTAAGCGAAACAAAGTGTAGCGAATTTGCTGAATTGAGTTCTAGAGACGCCGTAGGAAAATTGAGGCAGAAGAAGGAATTTCAGGGAAATTTCACAGTTGTTATGAAGTACTCTTCGAGTGGATTCCAACAATCTTTACCGCTTCTCATCACATTAATTTCAAAGGAAGTTATGGGCCTTTAAAGACTGCATAGTCGCGGTCCAGGAAAAAGGCTTGAAAAAAATCAAGGTGGAATTGACGGAACAACGGGACTATTTTTTGAGCGAGTGATTATTTCAAGAAGTTTTAGCACTTATTCGAAAGCTCTAATCCTCTAGTTTCTAATTAGCCTTAGACATCTGCAAAATGTTGAGTATGAAGAAAGTTATTAACGTTTGAATGTCGAAAACTCGCGCCTTCTCAAAAATCGGACCCCAAACCACCCAAGAACGGAACAACGGGACTATTTTTTGAAAAAATGATCGCTGGAAAATTTTCAGGTGCTTGTTCGAAAGCTCTAATCTTCTAGTTTCTAATTAGCCTTAGACATTTGCAAAAAGTTGATTATGAAGAAAGTTATGAATGTTTGAATGTCAAAAACTCGCGTGTGCACAGAAAACGGAACAACGGGACGATTTTTTGAAATATTGAACATCCACAACATTTCAAATACTCCTCAGGAAGAAAACTATTTATATTTTTAAAATTTTGGTGTCCGATTTCATGAAACAGCTTCTGAAAGAAAATATAACCTTCTGAATGGAGGGGTTTGGATTGCAATGTAATTGCTACAAGGTTTAGTTTTTCAGATTATAAGGTAAGGAAAGTTGAGAGATCGAAAAAATCCTGGTGGGTTTCTGAAAGTAGAAATCTTTACGATTAAAATGATGTATTGGTTTACGCAAAAATTTGAAAATTCCTTCTATTTAATGAATAAAACTTCATTTGCCTCGATTTCCTCCTCTGAGCGAGACAAAGCGCGCGGATTGACCACGGTCCACCACTTCTCCATGTTGGTGACTGCCATCATTGATGAGCATTGATGAGCATTAAATTATGTGAAAGACATGATAGTTAATATGGGGGGTCGTACCGATACCCCCCGAAAAGGAAGGGGGTCGTAAAAATTTGGGAATTTGCGCAACGCAGGGTTGACCCTGTTCAAGCAAATGGTCCAAGCGCCCAATCGATAGTGGGCAGCAGCTTGACCGAGCCCCGATTAAACGGGGAG